AAGGTAAGACTTACACTAAAAACAATGAAAATAAACCTGAACAAATCTCTACGAAAATAATCCCACAGTTTTCACAAAACACAGAATTTAATTCTCAATCAGAACTTCCTGGTAATTATTTTGTCCAATCCAAATCACCTCTTCCATCCGAAAATCAATCACAACTATCTCAAGTTCAACCACAAGGTTCTTCAAAACCATTGAAAAGAGTATCTTCAACAACTAATGAAAATACTAAGAAGATTAAAAATGGAGTATTGATTAATCCTAAACAAGAATTACAGTACAGTAAATTTCCTCAAACAACACAAAATAAATTACCACTGTCTCAAATGGCGTCACAATCATCTTTAGAATTATTGAATAAAGGTCCTACAACACCAAATAAAAATACCATGGTTATTGAAGATTCTAAGCCGTTTAATTCTCAATTACAATATCCAAACGGTTTGTCTCTTCCGCAAACACAAAATGAATTGAATTTACCACAATCTTCACATTCAGCTCCTCTTATCTCAAATCAATTACCACTATCTCAAATACCATCACATTCGTCTTCGGAGTTATTRAACAAAGAACCTCCATCACTTAATAWWCATTTTATGCAGAATAAAAATGASAATGTGCCTTTAAATTCCTTATCAGAATTTCCAGATGGCACATCAAAGCCATTTACTAGCAATGTTGCACAAAGTGAAAAATATTTGATAGATAGTTCACAAACAGATTTGAAAAAAAATTTAAATCCTGAAATTAATGATAATCTTTTGAAAAAAGATAATTCACAATTAGAATTGAATGATAYACCGCCACAATTACTAATGGACAATAMGCAARTAGGAAATGATCCACAACAAGGTGGTTTAATAAAAGGTATCAGTGAAATTCYTCAACCAACRCAAAATAAATTACCACTGTMTCAAAAGGCGTCACAATCATCTTTAGAATTATTGAATAAAGGTCCTACAACACCTAATAAAAATACCATGGTTATTGAAGATTCTAGGCCGTTTAATTCTCAATTACAATATCCAAACGGTTTGTATCTTCCGCAAACACAAAATGAATTGAATTTACCACAATCTTCACATTCAGCTCCTC